AACAAATCTATGATGGGTGACTCCTTGAAAAGTTTTTGGGTGTGCACGAGTGAGGAAAAATAGTGCAAGAAAAACTTGTGTTGAATTGTGAGATCACTCTACATTCTTATAAGTAGACACTTCCAGCCAAGATGAAGGTCGAGACTCGGGGTGTTACAAACGGTACCATAAAATTTCTAAGACCGTGAGAGACAAACAAACTTAATTCACTTAGTGGCAAAGATCTAGAGGATTGAAAAGAACGAGTGTGCAACGAGGAGTTGCATTCCAACATATACCTTAAGCCAAAGAAAAGTTTGGCAATGCTTAAATTAACAGTATTGGGAACTTTCTTCTTTGCCAAGCCACGAAATAAACACAATTATGTTACAAAATTTTAATTTGTTGTCCAAAGATATTATGGTGACTCTCTCATGTAGGGGTGTTCATCGGGTCCAACCCGGATCGGACCGGGACCAAATAAGAGGAACTTTGTGGACCGAGGACCGGACCGCTTAAGGTAAGGACCGGCCCGGGACCGGACCGGGACTGGACCGAATAAATGTAATTTTTTATTTTTTTTTAAAAAAATTGGTTTTATTTATTTAATTTAAAGTTTTCAATTGTAAAAAAAATATTATTACAATTAATTTTTCATGTGTAGCATACACTAAAAATTTTCAAACATTGATGTTTTTAATTTTTGTTTGTAATTTGTTTGTAATTTTGTTTGTAATTTTTATTTTACATATAGAATATTCTTCATCCATATTACATAAAATTTGTTTGTAATTTTTATTTTACATATAGAATACTGTGTTTTTACTTTTTCGTAATATATTTTTTGTGTGTTTTTGGTTTGTTTTGATAGACGGATACATTTTTTATTGTTTTTGTTCATAAGATTGTTTACAATATTTTTTTGTTGATTGATGTTTCATTACTGATAAAATACAAACTTAAGTTATAGTATTGATACATCAATTTGAAATGCATCATACCGCTTATGTAAAGATGATGTTTATTTTTTCACACTTTTCATGTTAAAAATATTTAAATATCATTAGAATTAGTATCTTATTTTGAATTGGAATATATTAAAAAAATTATATTAAATAATAAAATCAAAATATTTTAAAAATTTTAGTATTAAAGTTAAATTAATTTTAAGTATAAGAAGAAAACTTTAAAACTATATTAGAAAACTATATAAAAAACAAATATTTTTTTAAAAAATAAAATGTAACCGGTCCACCGGTCCGGACTGAAACCCGGTGGACCGGACCGGATCAGACCAGACCGAAGACCAAACGAGATCAAATGTAGGACCGAAGACCGGACCTAAATGTTATCGTTCTTGGACCGGACCGAACCGAAATTTTATGGACTAAATCGGTCCAGACCGAGTGGACCGACGACCCTAACCCTAGGGACAACAAAAAACAATGGCCGTGTTTGGAAAACAGCATTTCGGATAGCTTTTGGCATCTTTGACTGACTTTAGCTTTTTTGACCAAGCGAACCGCCAAAATCATTGTTTGGCTAATGGCTTTTTCACTTGGCATTTTGATCCGAAAAGCCAAAATCTGAAATGCCAAGGTGAGTAGAATTTGGACTTGGCGGTTAGGAAAAATATTTTTTTAAAAATCATTTTTGTTGAAAGATATTTTATAATATATGTAAAAAATAAAAATAAAAGTTAAAAAAAATTAAATACGAAAAAATAAAATGAAATTAAAAAAAATTACATTTATAATTCATTAAAAAATTTATATTTATAATTTATTATGAATTAAATGAAATTAAAATTTAATATTCCATATAGTAAAGATTTAATTTTTACATGTAAAAAAATGAAAAATAAATATCATGTCTATATATATATATATAATTTTTTATTTAATTTTTTTAACTTTTAAAAAAATATATTTATGATATGATATTTAAAAAATTGTAAAATAAAATATACCATAAATGGAGGGATGTCCTTTTATGTAATTTTATTTACAAACAGCTAACTATAAACAGCTAAAGTTGCCAAACACTTAAAATTTAACTGCTAACGGAAACAGCCGGTCAAAACAGCTAACTCAATCAGCCATTCAAATCAGCTAACATAAACAGCCAACAGCCAACAACCAACTGCTAGTATCCAAACAAGGCCAATGTATAAATCACTTTGCAACGCCTCAATTTGAACAGTTTTAAAAATAAAAAAAGTTGCAAATATTTCACACATTTTAATGTATTGCAACTTCAAAATTGAGTAAAAAGACAGAATAAATGTTTGCTCTCCACTGTCATTAATTAATGCACACTTGAACATAAATGAAATGGAATAAATGGCAGCCACTCTTGTAACTTGAAAGTTTTGAGAATTTGAAACAGCCACCCTAAACTCAGTAGCCACTAGCCAGCACTACACGCCACCATTCACCTGCAAACATTGAGCCATCCATTAGAACTTAAATTTGAAAACCAATATAAGAATAAACTTTATTATTTTAAGCTACAAGCCTATAATGGATATGTTACAAAAAGAAGAAAAACAATAGTACTAATAACATTGGAATGAAAATCCAAGTTTAAAAATTATACTTGTAATCGAGTTCTTTATTCCGTGACAAAGATCAAATCATCTATTTTTGCATTCTTTAAATCCAGAAATGGGAGAGTTACATATCAGACTCATTCCACCGTTTACGATCTCACTAGTCACAAAATCACAGTTTCGGATATGTAAGACTCGAGCTCCTCGATATTTAATCTCAAATTCTAAAATATTACACGCGTGCTCCTCGATATTTAATGACTATTTCTGTATTTCATGGTCATTTCTTTATAGAGGATATGTTGAAATCAACATTTGAACATTTGAAAATCATATGGTATTATTTTAAAATCAGAAATTAAATTTGAGGTGCATTGGTCTAATAAAAACCCCTGAATTCAACGACATAATTAAATATTAGTGGCCATAGATTTCTCTATCCAAACATTGCCCGCCGTTCTTGACCGGCCATCTATTATTGAAAAGAAAAATGCTAGGGGTACACCAAAGATGTACCACATTTGTCCCCCACCCCCTTCATTACCACAAAATGGGTAAGAAATTAAAAAAAAATAAATAAATAAAAATGGGATTAAAATGAGTGGTAGAGAAAGGGGTGGGGGACAAATGGGGTACACCAAGGTGTACCCCTAGCATGGCTCGATTGAAAATTGTTACGAAACGTCATCTTGTTAAATTGAAAAATGCTAGGGGTACACCAAGGTGTACCCCATATGTCCCCCACCCCCTCCTTGTCCACTAAAAAAGGCAAAAAAATTTAAAAAAATAAGTAAATAAAATTCAAATAAAAATGTGTGGCGGAGAAGGGAGTTGTCTACATTTGGGGTACACCTTTTGGTGTACCCTAGCATTGCTCTGTTAAATTTGCTCCACTCCCCGTCATGTTTGGAAAATAAAGTTTTTACTCTCTCCGTTTCATTTAATATTGCCCATTTTCATTTTGGAACATATTTAAGGAAGGGAAAAAGTGCTGTTGAATTTTCAAAAATGCCTTACTTTTTTTACGGGAATGATGATGAATGAGATAATAAGATGATGAAGACCGATTTATTGCAGGGATAATTTATACTCCCTCCGTCCTAAAACTTTCTTCCCGTTGCACAAAACGAAGAAAAATCCCAAGTTTTTTTCAATCTATTTTATTTAAATATTGGTATAGAAATAAAAAATAAAACATACATATTTAAAAACAAATCAAAAGTTCAACAAAACAAGTGGTGACAAGAATATTTTATTTTATCATATAGGCCATGAAAAAACATAAATAAATATAAATTCCCGTGAAGTTGGAATAGTGCTATGGGAAGAAAGTTTTAGGACAGAGGGAGTATATTTTTTAATTACTCTTAAAAGAAAAACAAGTAATTTAAAATGGAACGGAGGAAGTAATTTCTTTGAATGATTTAAAACCATTGTTTGGCTATATATATAGATAAAAAATAAGATAAAAAAGAAAAGAGATAAATGTATTTTTGGTTGTGTAAATTTAGCGAGTTTTGTTTTTGGTCCTTTTGAACTTCTTTTTAATCAAATCATCTCTGTAAAATTATTATTTTTTAGATAATCGTCCTGAAATTTAAATATACTCCTAACTTTTAATCGCTTTAAAATTTATATATTTTATTTTTAGTCCCTTTTAATTTCATTTGTTTTCTGTAGTCCTATTTTAAAATATTAAATACTATATACAATAATAATGTATTCTCTTTATTCAAATGAATATACTAAATTACAAGGTCAAAGTCAATGACATACTTTTAGAATTAAGCGTAATCTAATAGCTACATTATTACTACAAATTCATTTTAAAATATATTAATACACATAAATTTTTTTAAAAATGTTCATCTATATTAATATTTTTGCAAATAAACAACCAATTTGTACCATTTTTTTTAAAACAATAGCAAACACATTTAGTCAACCAAATAAGCTAAACTCATATACCATTTAGAACCGCAGACATAAACTACCAACAATTGACAACTAACTTTCAAGCACGGCCATTAATTTGCCTACGATATTCACGTGGTCTAATTTTATTCACTTTCTTTGCCTATTATGAATATAGTAATTATTATTATTATTATTATTACTCGTATTATTATTAAAAGCATTTTTGTTAAGTCTATTAAAAGCAATCTTGTTCTACAAAGTTTGATTACAAAAGTAATTTTTCTACACAAAATTTGATTACAAAAGTTGAAATGTCAAATTTAATTTTAGAATAGAAACAATATAGTGTAACACAAATGTCAATAATGCTAAAACCCCTAGTACTTCTCACTGTTTGTTTTCATGAATATTTTGCTTGTTAAATCATTGCAACAAGTGATTCTCTCCTTATTATTAAAGTCGTCCATCAAATGCCTTATTTTTCAATGACAAGAGAGAGTTACGGAGATCAACATTTTTCAAAGTTAGACTCGCAAACATCTAGAACATGGTCCTAGAAGATGGGTTGGCCCACCCCACCCCACCCCACCATTATTTAAAACTAAAATTTGCACTGAACTTATTTAAACACCCAAAAACAAACTATGTCAATGCACACAAACATCATCTTTTAAAATTTCGTTAAATTACACAATATTTAACATTTGGTGTTTCTTTTAGGTAGTAGTGCATACTATCCAATGGGCGCAACCCAAACCGTCACCGTATTGGAGCATATTCCGGTCTCTCTGCCGCCGGAAACCACCGCCGAACTCACTCTTCCCCTCACATTTCTCGATGTGGTGTGGCTATCATTACCACCGGTACACCGCCTCGTCTTCTACCGACACCCTGTGTCGAGATCCGAGTTCGTGGACGACATCATTCCAAAGATGAAAAACTCCCTATCCAAAACCCTCCAACACTTCAGTCCAATGGCCGGGAGAGCGGTCGTCTCTCCCGACCACTTGAACCTGTCCAAAATCCGTTACGCGGACGGAGACACCGTCCCGTTAGTCTTTGCGTTGTCGTCGTCAGACGGTTTTGACCGCCTCGCATCGGACAATTCAAGGAGTTGTGCAGATTTTCATCCCCTCGTGCCGAGATTGCCCCCGACGTCACGAGGGGTTGATGGATCCATCACAATCCCGGTTTTTGCGCTACAAGTGACGCTATTCCCAGACGTCGGGTTTTGCATGGGCGTGACCAACCACCACATCATCGGCGACGCGAACACCATCTTCCGTTTCATGAAAGCGTGGGCTTTCTTTTCGTCCTCTCCCCATCACCAAGATTCTCTCCCACCCCAATTCCTGCCGTTTTACGACAGAACAACAGTAAAAGACGAGAGAGGATTCGCGGAGATTTTCTGGGACTACGCAAAGACGAGCAATGTCGAGGAGACACTCGACGTTGATCTCCTCCCGAAGATCCCAGACAAGGTCCGATCCACGTTTGTGGTGAGCAAGGAGGACATCCAAAGGCTGAAGAACCACGTCGTAAAACGACGCCCGAAAATCCCCCACGTCTCCTCATTCACAGTGGTCTTCTCCTACGTGTGGGTCTGCTTGGTGAGATCAAGAACCGAGATCAACAATGCTGACGGCGACGATGATGAGGAGATGGACAACTTTATTTTCACGGCCGATTGCCGGGCACGGTTGGGCACGCCGGGCTTGCCCCACAACTACTTCGGCAATTGTGTCGTGCCGTGTATGGGAAGCGTGCGAACGAAGGACTTAACAGGAGACGGAGGCGTGGCGAATGCGGCTGAGGTGGTCGGCGGAAGCATCCACAGCCAACTGAACAGCAAAGATGAAGATGGAGTGGCAAGTGGAGTTGAAGATCTGGCTACTAGGGTGGCTGCAATGAAGAAAGATCGAATACTGGGCGTGGCTGGGTCGCCCAAGTTCGACTACTACGAGCTGGATTTCGGGTGGGGAAAGGCCAACAAGTTTGAAATTCCATCCATTGACATAACTGGGGCTATTTCAATGAGTGCAGCCAGCAAGAAGCATGGGGAAGGCGGCGGACTGGAAGCTGGTTTGGCGTTGCCAGTTGCACAAATGGACAGTTTTACCAGGATTTTTGCAGAGGGATTGAAAGCTCAGCTCTATGAAGAAGAAGAAGAAGAAGAAGAAGAAGAAGAAGAAGAGGAGGAAAAACAGTAGTAATACTATATGAATAATTCCCAGCTATTTCAGGTGCACAATAAAGTTGGGACAAGTGTGAGGCTATTGGGTGTGGTGTTTACTTATCTCTGATCTTGTATCCCTTTTTTTTCCAACATATATTCAAATTCATGTTTTTTTCATTGAAGACATCTCTTTTTATAAAAGAATATTTATGTAATTCGTACTCCCTGAGTGTATTTGTCTAAAAATTTAAGCTGAAAGGTGGGGTTCCCTTATATATATATATATATATATATATATATATATATATATATATATATATATATATATATATATAATGATAGTCTTCTTCAAAGAAGTGTTCTTCTATCCTTGAATATACAGGAGTATTTTCTTGATAGCGACGGAGTAAGTAAAGGTTCAATATACTACCAGATAAGAATGAAATAAATGCCATCAAAATACCAAATACTCCCTCCCCCGTCCCATGAAACATGGAACTTTTGCTTTTTAGGAGGGATTTAAGAAAAGTGTATTTTGGTATTGAATTTCCAAAAATGTCCTTTGATGTGATAGGTAAAAGTATGATTTGATGGATAGATTATTAGTAAAAAGGTATGATGTGATAGTTAGAGTATGAAAAAGTAAGGGATAAAAGTGACTTTTTAATAGAAATGAGAAGTGTTTTGTGGGACAAATAAAAAAAGAAAGAAGAAAGGTTTAATGGGACGGAGGGAGTATTATACTTTATACTCCTTCCTTCCCCAATTAGATTACAATTTTTTATTTCTCTCCTCTCAATAATTTTTGTTTGTTTACATGATTTCATTAAGTATATGATAAAATAAAACATTCTTGTCACCTCTTGCTTTGTAGTTTTTTAATATGCAACTTTTATTTCTTATTGATATGCTGCTTTATAAATAAAATGATTTCAAAAAGTGAGATATATTTCTCCTCGTAAACCTCAATTTGTAATCAAATTGGGGACAAAAGGAGTATGTCTTTAACTGAAGTTTGACGGTGTGAATGATAAAAATATAATGACTATATGTCTATATAGCACTATAGCAGTGTGAATGATAATATGGTGGTAAAGTGTGGTGGCACCGGCGGTGGGCCGCTGATCCATAGGGGTAAACAAAGGTGAGTTGGTGACTAGCATAGGAGCTCCGGTGGCAGTGGGGTGTGGAAGTTGGGAGTCTCGTAGTAACAGTGTGAACTCTTATTTAGGTCAGAAAAAGTGTGTTACTCTCCTTTAAGTGTTTTTATTATCTTTAAGAATTGATTGTATTAACAAGAAAGCAAAGTGCATCCACCATCTAAAAGTGCCATTATTTAGGTCAATTTATTAGATTGAATGCCTAACGGGAAATGAAATGTTTGTGAAAGGTTAATTTCAATCCTCCAACAAAAACATAATACTCCGTAAATGATTATTAAGAGGCAATATTTTGGAAGAAAACAATGGAAGAATAATTTGTGCAGAAATAAAAAGTAGAAAGGGAACTCAAGTGTATATGGTTCATGGAAATGAGATGATATATAAGAAAAGAATTACGAGAATTTCTTGGGTGCCTTTATTAATGAAGGGGCATGGATACCCTTCCACTAAATTGCTACAATGTGAACTTTCTAACCACATCATTTTAATTTTTAAAATTGCATAATAAGCTTATTTTTTTGTCTTTATTTAATTTAACTCATCTTAACATGCTAATGTCATTTAAAAATATTGTTTTTAAATTGAATAAATCCTTCCGTTTCTAAAAAAGGTTATCATTTGATTTTTTAGGATCAAAATTAAAATCTTTGACCATGAATTTAAAAAACAATATGTTGAATAATAATATAAATTTAATACTATTTGATTTGTCTTTAAGTAAAATTTTGAAATATCAATTTTTTTATAAAATTTATTAAAGATATGTGTGTGTGTTAATGGTTAAAATGGTTAAAGTGTCACATAGAACACCCAATAGTTTAAAAAGTGCTATCTCACTAATTGAACAACAAAAATTGGTGTTTGACTTATGACTTTTTCACTTGGATGTTTGATCCAAAAAGTCAAAATTCAGAAAGTTAAAGGGAGTAGCTTTTGAGCTTGGCTATTAGAAAAACTAATTTTTTAAAATTATTTTTCTTGAAAGATATTCAATATTATATGTTAAAAAATTAAAGTAAAAAAAATTAAAAATGAAAAATTGAAAAATCAAAATAAATCTGATGAAAAAATCAAAAGAAAAAAATTATTAAAAAATTATATACTATAAATATTTTTCCCCTTAGTTCCCATGACATTGGAAATCTATGTCATGGGATGACTCGGGGTGCTGCGGTGCCCCGTTCGTAAAATTGATGGTTCCTACCCCCCGAACGACCTGTAAACCCCCCACCCCGCCCCGACCCGAACACAACCCCCCACCCCCTTCAATTGCACTCCCCAAGTTAATTTTACACATATATTAGAACAACTAACACAAATAACGAACAAGCAACATCCAAACAGGGCCAATATACAATGTTAAAATATCACAAAGCAAACTCTTATTTCTAAAATAAAAGCATGGAACCCATATTTTAGGAATAAAATTTATATTTTACATCTATTTAGGGTGATATATTATTATTAAACCAAAAATAGGCATAAATAATCTAACATTATCTCAATCAGCAAGTAAACTAAATTATGGGTTATTACAAAATTACAAAGAGGAATGTATATATAATAAATTAATTCATTTAACATTTTAATATTTTACATTGACTCTATAATGATAACTAATACTCCGTATATGTTTTTAGGACAAAAGAAATATTTTTTGTATGAAAATTGTGTTATTACTTCAGTTCTTTTTTTTATTTTAATTACAATGGTGATGACAATAATGACAATAGTAGTAATAGTAATAATTATAATTATAAAAAATGTAACAAGAATATTATTAAAAAATAAAAATAAATAAATTTTTTAAGTTGTTATTAAATAAACTTGAAGTAGTTGAAAAAACTGGAAAGAATCGAAAAATGTTGTAAATAATTTTTCATTTAAAAGAAAAGACCTTTAGATAAGTAAAAAAGAAATATGGGTCATTATGTAATTTTCAAAAGTTAAAATGATGTATAGTTTTTTATTTATTCACATGATTAAAAAATATCCACATGCCAAGAATTTACTAGAGGGGCATCCATACCCCTTCAATAGTCAACGCATAGAAGAAATTCCCCAACCCGCACGGGTAGCTCAAGTGGCAAGCACTTGGTGAAGTTTGGAGAATGACCAAGGATCAAAACCTGCAGCAACCGTGTGGGGGAGACCACCTCTGAAAAATGGGGGGAGTCTCTGGTGCGCACTAGGATATGGTCTAGCTAAGTGTTGTGCTTGGGTCACCGTGATTTACCTGCTCTCACATTCCCGTCGGGTCGGGGGTGAGCGATTTCACCTTTTTGGAGAATAGAAGAAATTCCCAAGAATTATACCCTTCCACTCACAATTCCTCATCATATCATTGTAGGTTTTTTAATCTAGATTGTAATTATTTCGGTTCAGTATATAATTTTATTGTCGTATCGATACCGATTTGAAAATTTTGGTTGGATATGATTCGGAATCATGTTCGGTGCAAATCTGGATAAATAATATGCACCTAATTTAAACTTAAAAATGTCACAGAATAAATTTTTTTTCTAAATTGTAAGTATATTTACATAAAGAAACATAATCAACTAAAAAATGAAAAATTAAGTACAAAAAGTGCTTATAAAACTTAGTTTATATTTCACAAAATAAAGTGAACGAATTATAACAAATTAAAATGTTACCGGAGTATTTTGATCAAATGTGCGTTAATATCTTTTAATACATCTACAAAAAATTGAAACTCAAATAAAAGTTTAATGTACACATAATAAAATTTGATCCAAATTTAAAAAATAAACTTATTATTTAATGGAAAATATAAAAATATTATTATATTTATAATATATTACTCCGTAGTACATATATTTGGTTCGAAATTTTCAGCATGGAAAGATACCTCGTGTCATTTCTAAATTCCGAACTGAATTTTTCGTTTGGTACAATTCGGTATTTAGGCGATACTTTTTTGGTTTGATAATTTCCATTTTGATTTACTCGATAATTTTCGATATTGGTTCGATACTTGCTCACATCTACATCAATTATAGAGATAAGCAAGAGAGAAGAAGAATGGTCTTATTCATTCATAATCTGAACAATACATCCATGAAATCCTTTTAAGAGAGAAATTTTAATGTGATCTTTGAGTCCACAGTTATTTCATGAACCTTCGCTATAAAAACCACCAAACAATTGCATCTTTTGCAAAATAATATTTACTGAACAACCCATGAACATATGAGAAAGTCCACATTATCCAATAATACCAATTAAGGCAATTATTATCAAATTGTATCAAATTCAGTCGATTACTGTACTTAGGGGTGTATTCAATCTAGATTTTATAAGATTCTGATAGATTTTTTAGAATTTGTCGATTCTGTAAAGTCAATGGATTATTTAGAGTTTACGCAGAGTTAGATAGATTTTAGAGTAAATTCTATAATTGGTCCTTTATAACAGGGAGGTTTCCCTATTTAGTCCTCTATTATCAAATATTATCTCAGTGGTCCTTCTTTTATGGGCACTTTTCCACAAATAGTCCTTTTTTGATCTTCTATCATGTTGCTGTTAATTTGAGGGTTAAAAGTGCAATTTCACAATGATAATATATCTTTTTTGTCATACACAATTCCAAAGGCTGTTCCGTTTGCATCGTTTGTGAATTACAGTCGCTTTTTACGACAACGATAGTCTACAAATGTGATCTTTCGTCAGAATCCTAGCCCACAATCATAGTCATTATTTTTGTGTTATCCGCTTAACCAATACGAGAACACGTCACTAGACATAATGTTGATGTCAAATTATACTTTTAGCCTTTAAATTAACACCAACACGGCAGAAGATCAAAAAAGGACCATTTGTGGAAAGGTACCCTAAAAACAAGGACTACGGTGTTGGACATGAGTTCAAACCCCTTTTTCTATTTCTTCTGGAATATTTTTTTTTGTT